TGTGTGTGTGTGTGTGTGTGTGTGTGTGTGTGTGTGTGTGTGTGTGTTATGACTTACAGAATTATTCCAGGTGATTACAGGAACCTGAAGGTCACTACTGGTGTTCTCTTACCATTAGTGGGCTGAATTCTCCTAAGCTAAATATAGCTAGAAAACTGTATTCGATTCCAAGTCTATGAAAAGATCCGAGAAGGAGAAAGAAAGGATTCAAAGGTTGTCTGAGGCTTGCAACAAGATCAATTAATTGCGACCAGGTAAGGGATGATGGGGACATCATGGTGATCCTCTCGCTCCAAGTGTATAATATGTAAAATCTACCCCCATATACCTCTTAAAAATAAACACATGAAGGGAGCTGAAGAGATGGTTAAGAAGACAGGCTGCTTTTCTAAAAGATCTAGGTTCAATTCCCAGCACTCCCATGGTGGCTCACAACCACCAGTCACTCCATTCAAAGTGCGCTGGAAGGCAACACTCAGCCCATTGCTTTCAGTGAAGAGGAAGGGCTGGAGTAGGCAAGCAGATGCTTTAAATCAGAAAGCCTAAGAAGCAACACTTCTTTAATCAATATAAACATCAGTGAGAGGGATCTATCTCTGTTAGATTCAATCACTTATTCATTCATTTATTGACACACAGCCACCTGCAGTTGAGAAGTGATGGACTGTAAGGTGAGCAAACACATATTCTGTCTATAGAATTCTTATCATCTGCTAACAGGAAGAGCACTGTAAACAACAGGCAAAGCCAGCTTTGCTGTGTGCACTGAGACAAGGAGAAGCTGGATGCTAGAAAAGGGTGTGGTCGGCATATGTGTGTAATTGTGAGGAGCTGGACTTTCAAGGGTTGCATAAGTGGGTAAATGTGCTGGTGTGTTATGAGTGCAGTGGCAACAGTGTGGCAGTGGGTTACAGATTTGTTATTAGCAGTTACAAGGAGGAAGATAATTCTTGAAAATGTTAACAAATCTTTTAAATGTAAAAATGAAAAAAAAATAATACCCATGTGCTAAAACACACCTTGAATGTTTCAAAGGGCACAAAGCAACAATCCCAGGCTGTGGGTTGTGCAATGAGCACCCTGGGATCCTGTGAGCCCCACAGTAATGACAGGCTGGGAGACAATCAGCTAGTAGGATGGTAAGGAGAGGAAAAGAAACCAGTTGATGAAAAGTCAGCAGTGAGTGCTCCCTTGAGAGAGCACTAGGTCTTGCATCTAACTTATGAGCAATCTTGAGTGTGTGAACCCAAGATATAAACCCAGAATGTCCACCATCTTTTCAGAACTGGGGTACCTGCCAAGTTACTGTGCCAAATGGGAAGAGATGAAAGAGAAAGGGCCTGTCTATCATGTTTATGGCAGAAAGGAAAGTCAGAAATTACTCAGCAAAGGAGACTAGACTGCGAATTAACATTAATAAGAACATATGACAGACTCTGGCAAAGATTCTCTGAAATGTGACCTCAATATCAAACAGTGATGACACTCAGAGTAAGCTGAGGAGACAGGTGAGAGTTCTGATGGGAAGGGAGGGGAGAGTGGGAAGACAACATAGAACCAATGCTCCCCTCAGGAGGGCAGGCCCTGGGACTGAGGCATATACTTGCTTAAATGCTCTTACTGGATGGAGGCCAGGGAGTAGGTCTTACCTGGCGGGAGGTATTGGCAATGCCCAGATGCATTCACCAAGACATTGGTGTGGAAGGTGGCATCAAACCGTTCATCAGCACTAGAAATAGGAAAAGAATTCATGAGGCAGCACCTCCAGGCAGTGAATTCCTCAGTGTCCTTAGAGGAGTTGTTCTATGGGTCAGAAGGGTAGCAGCATTTTGAAGGGGTCCTGCTTGTGGCTGGACAATATCACACCTGCCTGGAAAAGTCAATGCAGCACACCTGGAAGGTCTTCTCAGGAAGGGGCCAGTGTCCAAGCCCATTTCATATGAATTGTGACTCCAGAGTTTCCTTTCTGTTGCTGTGACAGAAAGCATCTTAGAGAATAAACATATATTTGGCTCACAATTCAAGGTTATAGGAAAGTGGAGGCAAAAACTTACGGTATTGCATGCACAGTCAAAAGCAGAGAGAATAAACACATAACACCCCTATTTGTTCTCTCTTTCTCAGCTAGCTTTCTTCTCTCTTACCCTGTTCAAGACTCTCGGCCATTGGGTAATATTATTCTTGAGTAGACATGGCCAAATCTCTGCTCATCCTAAATAAGGGACCAAGGACAGAACAAAGTAAGAATAACACCAAAGTTCAACTTGAGTAAGTTTTATTGGGGGCTATTTACAGGAATATGGGCGAGGGGCAGAAGTGACTGAAGATATTTGCACCAGAATCCATGGCATCTCAGAAAAGCTGGAAACATGGAGCACATTGTATAATCTGCAGGAAGCTGAACAGTTTTGAAAGTGTCCTTCTCAGCTAGCTCACTTGGTCAGACACTTTTCCAGGCTCCTTGGCTAGTCTTTACCTATTCCAGGCAGCTCAGATTATCTCTGCTCCTTCCAGGTAGCTGGGCTGATCTCTTACCTGTTCCAGGCAGTTCGGCTGGTTTGAGCCTCTTCCAGGCAGCCTAGTTTGCAGTCCTTACAGCTTGAGGAAGTAATGACCTGTTATAGCTAGTCAGTTTTAGGGACTTCCTAAGGCCCTTGAATCTTACTTCCTAAGCCCAACAGCTTTCTTGAAGGATGGAATGTTGAGGATTAGAACACCTTGTGTCTTAAGGAGCTTCCCTCTAAGGTTTTATTTCAGAGAAAATTGCTACACAATACTTGCCTGAGGAATGGTGCTGCCAACAATTAGGCTGGGCCTTCATAAATCAATTAGCAGTCAAGACATCCTTACCATCATCCACAAAAATGGTCACAGGCCAACATGTTCTAAACAATTCATCATTAAGACTCTCTTCCTGGGTTAGTGTAGGTTGTGTCAAGTTGATAGTTGACTAACCAGCACAGATGCCTTCCATTAGGTATATAATACAAAGCTCCTAACCAACATGTAACCTAAAAATAAGAGATGAGAAGTGTGCCATACCTATAGGAGACCTCTTTGAGCAGACACTTAACCTGTGTTACCGAAACCCTGGAATGGGGCTCACACTTGACTAGTGTTAACAAATGGTTTTTGAATGACTAAAATTATAGCTGCAGGATCTAGGTACCAGCAGGGCCCCAGAGATTCCAGACAACAGTGCTAATAAGGGCAGTTGGGTGGATGGCAAATTAAGTGTTTTACATGAATGCACACTAGCTTTCTCCCCTATGTTTATATATCCTAACACAGGAGTTATGATTGGAATAAAGGAAACACATACACACCAGAAAGATAGAATAATGGTGGAAACTAACAGTTTGTGCTAAACATCTCTTAAGTTTTCTACATTCTGATGTGTTGAGATTTGAGACCTGCAGAGTCTTTGATCAGGCAGCTCCCTAGAGAAAGTGACCCAGAGTCCTAGTTGGCTTACTGTTGCTATGGTCAACACCATGACCAACAGCAACTTAGGCAGGAATTTGAACACGGAAATCAAAGCAGAGGCCATGGAGTAATGCTGCTTATTAGCTTGCTTCCCATGGCTAGCTCAGCTTGTTATCTTATACAGCCACCTGCCCAAGGGTCATGTCTTAGTCAGGTTCCTGAAACGCTATGACCAAAAGCAACTTGGGAAATGATTTATTTGACTCATAGTTGCAAACAGTATCTCACCATCAAAAGCAGTGAGGGCAGGAACTCACATAGGGCAGGAACCTGGAGGCTAGAACTAATACAGAGCCTGTGAAGAAGTGCTGCTTACTGTCTTGCTCCAGCTGGCCTGCTTGGCCTTCTCTCTTATAGAACCCAGCACCTCCAGCCCAGGGGTGGCCCCAGCCAATAAGCTCCCCCACGCCATCAACCACTAATTAATACAATGCCATACAGGTTTACCTACAGCATGCTTATAGAGGCATTTTCTCAATTGAGATTTCCTCCTTTCTGATGAATAGATTGTGTCAAGTTGACATGACACTAGCCAGAAGAGGTAGCGTAGCCCACATTGGGTTTGGACCTCACACATCAATCATTAGTCAAGAAAAATGTCACAGAGATATGTTCACAGGCCAGTTTGATGGAGGAACTTCCTCAATTGACACTTCCTCTTCTGTGAGGCAATTCTAGTTTGTGTCAGTTTGACAGAAGGTAAGAACACACCAAGCTTCAAGAACCCCTTTCAAATCTAACTGAACCAAAGGGACCACACTACTACTACCAAGTATATCAGACTTCATATTCTGGGCCCTCTCACCCCAGTGCTGCCCAGTGGAAATTGTTCCTTACTGATAGAATCTGCTGTATTATTTATGACAGTCAATGGAAAACCCATTTGTCCTTTAGGGCTGACGAACCCAAGGGAAATCAAAGGAAAGACCACTGCCCACCTTCTCCCACTTCTGTGCCTTCTGCCTCATATCCAACACAGAGCTTTGCCCCTGCTCTTCCCAGGGTGCTTTATGTCTTGCTTTCAGAGATTTTTAAACAGAACTAAACAGAACAAACCTTGCTTGATGATAGTCATTTTCTTGTTCCCATATCAGAATAATGGAAATTCTTTGTATCCTTAAAACTCTACCTTTTATGTAAAGAAAAATAAGCAGCCCCAAGAAAACAATAGCAGGAACGGGAAGATAACTCCTTGGGTGAAGACCCCAGCACCCTCACAAAATGTCAGGCATGGCACTTCACACCTGTACCTATAGCACTGGTGGGCAGAGACAGATAGATCCCCAAAGCTCTGCCAGACAGCCTAGGGAAAGCAGTGAGCTCCCACCTCAGAGAGAGAACTGTCACGGGACATAAGTGGATAGTGATAAAGAAAGACACTGGATGCCTTATGTGACCTACACAGTTTCTAAATAAATAAATAGAAAACCACTCAATAAATAGCATCAATAAATAAATAGCATCCACTCAAAGTTCTAGCTGCACACAGCAAAGCTCCCTCACCTTGACAACCAAGGCCCCCAGCTGGGGCTGCCCATGTAGCACCTTAGACAGCCTGTTGTATGCCCTAGGTTTCTCAGTGGAAAGGTCTGAATCACAAGACACCAGTGATGATCCATGTTCACTGGGAGCCACACAATCACTGGCAAATATTTTAAAACACTTAAAAATAAAAGAAATTTAAAAAGGAAAACTATGGATGAAAAGTTAATTCTTTAAAAAAGTAATGTCCTCCCCAAATTAAAGAATATATTATAGTTGAAAAAACAAAGAGCAACATAGTAATTAAAGTTGAGGTTGAAATAATTTTCAATACACGGTGGGAGGTTCTGCTGGTAAGCATCAATGATGACATGTAGAACAAAAATGACTGATGCCACAAAGGACAAGGCCAGCAGAGCCCACGTCATTGATAGGAGCTCCACTGGAAGGCAATAGACAGAGAGGGAGGGCAAGAACAGGAAACCACACAAAGGAATTGTCTAAGCAGAAGGAAACCATTCAAGTGTGAAGGCAGAGAGAAATACTTACATGAAGGCCACAGAGAGCTACAGTCCCACTCACTGTCCTTGGGGAGCTTTAGGGAAAAAGAGGGTAAAAGCTGAGAAAGACAGAAAGTAAGGGAGGGAGGGAGGAAGAGGGAGAGGGGTTCAAAAACGGAAAGGTAGAGGGGGGAGGGAGAAAAAGAGGGAAAGGGTGAAGGAGGGAAAGAGAGAGAGAGAGAGAGAGAGAGAGAGAGAGAGAGAGAGAGAATATTTTTATACTCAACTGGGAAGGGAGAACAGAGTCACTATGATGAGCTATGTAGACACCTAGAAAAGCTGAAGCCACACCGGAGAGATATATTCTGGATTGGCAAGAGATGGGAATCAGACAAGGAAAAAAAAGTGTGTTTTGGAACACAGGCAGTGTCTTGCTGTGTAGTCTAGCCTAGCCAGGCATTTTGAATCCTCCTGCCTCAGTCTTCCAAGTGAGGAAACTGCAGCTATGCATACCACACCTGGCCAACATCACAGATCTGATTAAAGGCACATTTTAAAGATCTCCTAAGAGGCAGTTCTGTTACTGCCACGCCCACTGCTCTCTGTGGGGTGTACTAAAAGGATTTCTCATTATGTTTTTTTTTTTTAATATTACATCAAGAAAAAATAAATTTCAAAGGGAAAATGTACAAGGATGTCAAGACTTGAATATGAAACAAAAATATGATGAAGTTTAAAAGGAAGGAGGGACACATTTATCATGGATGGACTGGGACAGTAATAGACATATCTACCTACTTACACCGAATCTCCCAGGATGGAAACACATTTGTGTACATCTGTACATGACTGTCAGTAAGCCACATTATAAATAGGGCATGGAAGGAAATAGCTGGCATCACAGTGACTAAGGAAAGTATGTGACTTTCTAACCGGTTCTCTGGAATCTTGAGATTCTGCAGACACACTTCAGAATGTCACAAAATGTTTTATTTTCTTTTTATTGTATATGAAAATGGAGATAAAAGTCAACCTACACTCAAATGACTGGATCTGAAGTTTTAGCTCTTCAAAGACAACCATTGTATTCATATGGCTTATTTTCCTCATTTCTGGGTGAAAAGTTTAACAGGATTTTCTCTTCCCCTCAAAGCACACACGTTCGAATCTCTTACACATGAGTCACCACATAAGACTTCAATTCAGCATTGCCCTTTTAAGAAGTTCATGCTTGTGCCTACAGTTTCTCACAGTGAGCCTG